AGAACTTACAGAAAGCGAAAAGACTGAATTCAGTTTCACAAGCAGAAGCACTCCTGGTATACCTGAACGAAACTGCAAAGAGAGAGCCCGAAATTTATCTCTAACAACATGCTGTTGCTGTTTACACCAGAATAAATACATTAAGCTTAATGTTTGCATAGCATGACAATAAGGTTAATAAAGTAGCTCTTATTCCATCTGAACTTTAAAAGTATGAAAATATTCACTACAAAAGAAGGAACACCGAGTAGAAAATAAGCTCACAGGTACAGCCAAAGAGCAAAAGGTCAGCACTTGCCAATTGCTACTGTGGAGTTTCCACAGCTACTGGGAATTCTCTTTTTTTCTAAACCAGAGGAAATCTGAAGGAACTTCAGATACCATTGTGTGGTAACTGCTGGCAAACATTACAGATTTTATCTCAACCACTGGCATACTGACTGCTTGCATTTCAACATCAAATTTTCATTCAACTTTAACTTTTTTCTACAAAGTACCAGCTAATGCATAAACTAATAAATAAATACAACACATTTGAACATGCCATACCTACTTCATATAAAGAAGTTTCGGAAGAGACACTAAATATGTATTACCATGTCATGAATAATTTTTTGTAGTCTTTAAACCAGGTCACTGAAAAGAATAATGCATTCCAGATGCAGTAAGTTGGAATAGAATCTGAAGGATACTTTCATGAACTGTAAGGGAGCCCAACACATTTTAACAATTATTTAATGAACTCCTATTCCAAACAAGTCAACTTCAGGTGAGGCCTCTTGCATGCAGGTACTCTTCAACTTCACGAATTTCCCTGTAATAAAGCAAGGCCAACCACAGTAACCTACTTTGGCTTCCCATATAAAAGGAAATGCAGGACTCCATGTAATTCATGCTTTTTAAAATTAAAGAGCATTTTTTAGAACAAGAACCAATCTTCTAAGAATGGTCAGGAATGAAAAATACACCACAATTTTTCAGTACACAGAGAAAGTATATTGGATCAAATTGCCAAGATTTAATCTGAACATGCAGCTTTGGCAGAAAATTCAGTTAAAGCTGTAAAAAGAGAGCCTGATTCACAGGAAAACAACAACACAAACCATATGTATCAGGACCAATATGCAATTATTTTTCACTCCACCCTAGTTACCTTTGTACAGAGGGACAAGTATGCTGTGAGTTTCTGACCTTAAGAATGCTGGACTTTAAGTTTGGATCTGATTATCATGATGGTCACATGTTTTTATGGGCTACTATTTGATTAATACTCACCCTACAACACTTCTATCTTCAAGAACCGAAGAAGGCTGCTCATTGCCTGTAGCTATAGTTTATCACTTCAAATTTTTGTTGCATAGATAAATAGGAACTAGTCCAGATGTGGCAAAAGAAATGCTGAGGTCAAAGTAATATTCTACTTCGCTCTGATTTTAACTATAAGCACATCAAGTACTGCAGTCCTAGCTGTTCTTCAAGTCTCTTCTCAGATGTATGATTTCATCATCACAGAGCGTTAACAGAGAAGAACAAAATAATTTTATGAAGTTCAGCTTATAATTAGTTGTGCATCTGATTTCGCATTATCTCTAGTAGCGTTCCAGTAATACAACCTAGAAGTAACCTTGACCCTGTATTACTAAAACTTTGCAAAGCTTGCTGAACTATCACAGCAATCCATTGGGACATACAACGCAGTATAGAACAATATACTTTCAGCACTCAGCTGGGCAGAAACAAGTATTTCATGATAAACATACTGACTAGGACCCACTGCAATATATGCTTAATGAGAAGATTGTCCCTTGCGAAATGTCAGGAACCATCAACACATACAATGCTCACACAATGACTAGTGTGTGATGTCACTAAGGTGACTAGTGTAACTGGCTGCATCTGATTATAGGATGTCTTGATACGTTACACGAAGGTAGTTCCTTCCAAAGACCTATAACTTCTACTATATTCTCTGTAGTAAATCTGGTTGGCCCACACAATAGATATGTATTTGGCATTTTTCCTTCCCTGCTTGGTCTACTAGATTGCCTCTTATTAGTATGTAAACTGCAGTGGATGTAGACTTTTACATTATACTGATTTTAGAGAAAAGAGGCATCCAACACGCAGAATCAGAAGATACATTCTAGAAGGACCCCAGGTGGACAAATAAAGATTATGAATGGATTATTTTGATTTATCACTTAAAGGCATAAACTCATACAGGTTTGGTGAAAAGTTTCAAATTTCTTTCACATATCTTTTTGTTAATTACAGAAATCATACTTCACGATCACCTTGCCCAAAGTGTTCTCCCTAATACCTCACTTAGAATCTCAGTTCAAAACTTTAAATAGTATTGATACAATTGTAAATTTCACTGTTTGGTGAGAAAGGTATGAAATCTGGCTGAAGTACTGAAGCGGGTCCAGAGGAGGGCCATGAAGACGACCAGAGGGCTGGAGTAGCTCTCCTGTGAGGACAGGCTGAGGCAGTTGGGGCTGTTCAGCCTGGAGAAGACAAGGCTCCAGGGTGACCTTATAGCAGTATTAAAGTGCCTGGAGGGGGCCTACAGGAAGGATGGAGAGGGACTTTTCACAAGGATGAGTAGTGATAAGAAAAGGGGGAACGGCTGTAAACTGAAAGAGGGCAGATTTAGATTACACACTAGGAAGAAATTCTTCACCATGAGGGTGGTGAAACACTGGGGCAGGTTGCCCAGAGCAGCTGTGGCTGCCCCCTCCCTGGCAGTGTTCAAGCCCAGGTTGGATGGAGCTCTGAGCACCCTGGGCTGGTAGAAGATGTCCCTGCTCATGGCAGGGGGGTTGGAACCAGATGATCTTTAAGGTCCCTTCCAAACCCTACCATTCTATGATTCTATAATTCTACTAAATGTATAGAGACATCCAGACTATGCCCCCTCAGCATTAGAAAGCCAAATACATTTTTCCCAATTCACACCATCTGTGAAACGGTAAAGGTAGAAAACAGCAAGCTGTTTCACAACCCTGCTAAAGAGTGCCACTTTTGCATGCTTGTCCCAAGAAAGGGGGCCTATGTTCCATATTTACACCCACATTATGAGGGTTATCATGTCACCCTGAATATTTCTACATTTCCTTACACCTCTAAACATGAAAGGAGGATGAACATGTGGCTGCTGCTTCTGATATGCAAACGTCTTGGCACTATGCAGCAATACTTACTGAAGTTCAGTAAAATTAATCACACTTTTTAGTGTTTCTGAAAGCAATCACTCTTCGAGAAGCTAAAATAGACACCTTTCATTTTTCTGTGACACAGCATGTCTTAGCACACGCTTTAGTTTAGGTTTAGTAATCTCAAAAACATTACCATATGAAGTACTTTACCGACTTAAACATTAACATATTAATCATCAGTGAATGATGATTCTTTCAACACTCAAAGAAGCCTCATAATCATGAGAAGGTCACTGTAAACATCCTTTCCAAACAGGCAGGGCAGGGAGTATAGAGTGCTACTAACACAGTGTTTTCCCCGGTTTTACGGGATCCCTTGTCGTAATTTTCCTACTAGAAAAACTCGGGCTACTTGCACTGCTCTTCTTCAGTGGTCTTTCACTGTTCCTGCCCTCTTTCTTTGTACTGTTGTCATCCTCATTCATCTCCTGATGCCTGTCTCCATCTCTTTTTTTCATGTGCTATTCCCTTGAAAAATTACTTTCTTGACTCCTAATAATTCTTTTTTTCTCCTTCTCTCTCTCACCACAAAACTGAACAAGAAATCCCTGCGGAGGAACTGAAATTAATGGTAAACTCTGATACAATGTATCTGGAGTTCAGGCTCTAGTGTGACAAAAGGGAAGGATAAAGAGTATTCCAGTGTCCTTCCTGGTCCTTTAAATTCAGGAGAGAAATCTGGGAAGATACCTGCTCTCCCTGAAGGATAGTGGCCCTTAGAAGTAAAAAAAAGTGAAAGGAAAAAATTCCCTCTTATCTACTGGACAAGTAAACATCTACATCATGGTAAGAAAATTATTCAACTAGGCACACATTGAAATAGAGTCCTAGGATCAATTTGAATTTCACAACATACAAACAAATATGTTTTTTTTTCAAGTTAATAATAATCAGCAGCTATTCCTAGAAATTACATATTCATTGTTCTGTTAGGTTATGTGGAGGACTCGAAACAGCACTGGTGAGGCTGCTTTCTGCTGACATGAAATAAGCACTTAGTAAGGGTAAGATAATCATCATCCAAAATACAGACTATATGTAATGCTAGTCAAGAATCTGAATTACAGAGATTGTAGATGGTTCACTGGAGTCTAAACATAAAGAGATTCTAGGGCTTACTGATTAGATTGTTATCCCATGTGATTACATACGTGTGAGTCTGACTCGCAGTGACCCTAAGAAAAACCGGAAGAAAAACATGACTTTGAGGGTTTAATGTTCAGTGCTAGAATTTGTGAAGAGAGAAATTGTTGTGTTTTATTCCTACTGTATTCATGGAATTAGACTGCGGGTCTGGCTTCTGTTAGTAATGAAACAAACAACTGCCTTAAAAAATATCCAACTCTTCTCAGTTTCTCATGGTAATATTATGCAAGATTTTGAAAATTTCTCAAGTCAAAAAGGAGTAATACAATGCCAGAATATTTCAGGATAAACTGTGTCACTTATTCTGCAGCACTTTTGCTGCATGTATCCTTCATGCAGGTTCTTACCTAAGTTTTGCTTTATGAAGGTCTACCATGTCACTTTTTCAGCCTACAGTAAAATTTTATAAATTCAGAAAATAAAATTACATATAATCCTATCTGTTGGTACTTATCAAATTAAAGAACAGCTTTCCTTTCTATCTATGTGGAAAGATGGAGCAGTCATTCATTCAAACAGACTAGTTAAAAAGCACATCATTAACTAGGAAAAGCAAAGGCAGAATTACAGCTTGTCAGTATTTTCATGAGTAATAGAGAGACTTGTATCAGTAAGAGAGAGAGAATTCAGACTTACTGTGCATTTGTTTGGCTTCTCTCCTGAGTGGACTCTCATGTGAATCAGCAGTTTATAACGGGCATTAAATGGCTTGTACCTTCTTGGGCACCCTGCCCAGAAGCAAGTGAAGTCCTCTCCTTTCCTCTGGTCTATATGGATCTTCTCTATGTGCCGCACAAGTTCCTCTTGCTGGTCATACAGCGCACTGCAGTCAACCCAGCGACAGCCGTGCTTGCCATTGAAATCATCTAGCTCACCATCTTCATCAAGCAGGGACCTTGGGACAGGAGGCACAGGCAGAGGATGAATGTGACTGGGGAGGCTGTGTGGATGCCGGTGCTGGTGAGCATGGTATGGTGGGGGTGGCCCTTGTGGAGGAGGTGGCGACAGCAGGGATGGAGGAGGCATGTTGACCATACGGCCTGAGAAGTCATCCAGACGTTCATTTTTTAGGAGGCTCACTGCCTGGTTATCTGCAGGCAGCATGCCTTGCTGGATCACCATGTTACTTGTGGCGGCCATCTGCAAGCTGGCTTGCTCACGCTGCTGCATCCGCTGATATTCACCAGCCCCATTCTCCACACACCCTGGGAAGGTGACGTTGCCATTAGCCATGAGAAGGCCTTTCTGGGAAGCTGGAATAGAGCAATTTTGGGGTATACAGCTTCCTCTCACTCCTAGAAAATGTCCATAGACCTCAGGCTGTGGGGAGACGTTTGTTGGTGATGTCCTGGAGCTGTTGATGTAGGCCACCAGAGAGGTTGGGGATGTACGGATGATTGTATTGAAGTCAATCCCAATGCCGTCAGAGAGAGGAGATAGAGAGAGTGCTCTCTTTTTGGAGCGGGCTGATTGAGACCGGGCTGAGGAATGGTGAGGACTAGAGTGAGGGGAATGTTTATTTTCCATGCCATGTAAGTGGGACGGCAACAAGTTAGAGACACAGTTACTTAACACAGATGTTCCAGGTGAAAAATTTAGTAAGTTCCCCAGCTCGCTGCCATTTTGTAAACCTTGGTCAGGAGGAACAGAAGAAAATGTTCTGTACCCGTGCGACCACTCTTGCTTAACACTCAGAGTGGACTGACTTTCTGACAAGCTTATCGTTGTAGAGGCCAGAGACTCACGTGACAAGAGTGACCTGGAATAAAGGCACAATAAAGTAAGTAAGCAATAGTTCTTCTATCCTCACGCACACATAAAATTAAAGAAAGGCTACATGTGAGAAAAGTTCTCCCTAATTTTAGGTACTCAACTTCAGCACTCAGTTAATGTACCAGCAGGCATACACAGGCAATGCATATGTAACAAGATCACTTAGGAAACCAACTTTAAAACATCAAGATTTTGAAGAAAAGTTGCTGTAAAAGTTCTTGGTAAATCAGTGCAGAAATCAATGCAAATTTTTTCATCACCTGTGGTGTAAATAGGTTTGAGCTTCTGAAGCCAGAGCATTATGCTCCTGCCTTGTATGAAACTCCTGTTGATTTGACTATTATTTTTGCTGGCAAAGAATGGGAAGAAAACTGATTAGTAAAGAACAAATATTTAACCCGAATGACTCTGCCAATTGTAATGCATACAAATCATATTCCCTACAGAAATAGCTCAAGATTATAAATACAGATAATATCTAACTTTACAAAACAAACAAAATAAATCAATAATGTAGAAAAACTGGTTGAAGGGGTTTATTTAGTTTTGATTTGTTGATGTATCTGCCTCCAAGTCAGCAATCAAAATCTTTCACAAAAGTCTAATCTTGCTGTTATTATTGGTTTTTCACAGAAATACTATGAAACTTGTTTATGCTGCAAATATGCTATGGGTAGCTTAAAAACAGAACTCATAATCTCTTAACTGTATTGTTTTCGATAAAAGATATAAAAAGGAAATCGAAGGACATCAGGGTCCCTGATTCATGGCTGCAAATTGTTGGGTAGAGGCCAAGTGGATTTATGTATTTATTTTTCCAGTTCACATCTTGGCAGACTTCGATCTCCTGCCAGCCCGTGGTGCTATTAGTACATTAATTTCAATTTTTAAAGGGCTCTAGAAGTAGGAAGAACCAGGTATGTATCTAGATAAACCTGGAGATCTCACATACACAGAAGCCTCTGCATCCTACGTTTTTGGATTTAATTCCTGGGTTTACTATTTTCACAATACACTTTTGAAGAAGCATAGAATTTCTGTGGTGGATGAAGTACATGGGAAATTTGGTTTCTCTTCTAAATCTAAAATCTGTTTTTTAAGGTGGACAAGTCAATCACTGCTTCTCAGCTTCTCACATAAAAACAAGATACACAATAGTTCCTCCTATCATGCAAAGACTTCAGGAGGTCAAATTAACTTAAAGAAAGACAGTTAATAAGTGCTAATAGGTACCAGGTGTTGAAAAATGTTTCCTAAATCTCTAAGTAAACTGTATACGAAATATTTACATGCAATAATCCAAAGCAACTGTCACGTAGGCAAGCAATAATGTATTCATATCTACAAAGGTAAATTCTTACAGTTATTGGTAATTATTTTACTCCATGGTTTTATATTGCTACAGACTTCAAATTTCTAAAAGAGAAAGAATGCACCATAAATAAAGTTCATAAAAACAAGTATCATCTCTTTCTTGATGCAGACACAGTTACAGCAAGCACCTCCGAGGACACACTTCTAGCTATTTTACTTGCTTCTTTTTTTTTGATTGGGAAACAAGCTTTGATGTCTACTCAGGGTAAGCAATATTGCAGTTGCTTCCAAGTTCTGCAAGATTTTCTTGTAGACACTACTTAGGAAACACGGATCCATGGGACAGATTGGTCAAGGCTCATAGTTGCATCCTATGTCTGCACCACAGCCCTGATGCAGTGACTGCAGCTTCCATGAAGATACATGAAACTACTTAATTTAAGAAGTGGTGGTAGGCTAAAACTGGGGATCAGAATCCCATTTACAACAACATCAGTCAACCCAAGAGAGCAAGAACAGACCCTAAACAATGGCTCTGGCGATATTCCCAGTGAATATGGCAATATTTACAAAATTTCCATAACTTTGCTTGGTAAATCTACTTTTCACTTTGAGATCTGTGGATTATCTTTCAATTAGATCAGCAAGGTTGAATGAATATATGAAAACTGTACATTTAGGTAAGAGAAATGTACATAGCTTTCCACATTCACTTCCAGCCACAAAGGATAAAGCTGAAAAATCACAGTGTCTTTGTTATCTTATTCTGCCCACCACACAAGCACTCCCTGAGTGATGGGGTTTTTCCTACTACCTAATATTACAGCATTTTCCAGTACTTGAGACCAACATGAAGAGAGAACAGTTGGTTTGCAGAGGCTTTTGTTTAAGGGCTGGGTCGTGCTGCAAGAACACAGCCCAGTCATTGCTGAAGAGCTGGAGGAGGGGAACTGGTGCTTAGGGCACGGTGGCTGCCCCCTCAAACCCTTTGTGTCTAGATGGGATGCTTGGCACAGGCTGAGGGAGAGAGGAAGCAGTTTGCAGGTGCTATGTCTGCACACTGAGATAGCTCACGAACAGCAAAAATGTAGCTTTAAGTGTCACCCAGTCTTGCTGTGGTCATCTATGGGATAGAAGTGTAAATGCTCCTTTGCTCCAGATACGGGCTTTGTAATGGATAGTTGAATTGCTGTGTCAGAATAAGAGACATCCTGTTCAGATTGAATGTCAGTACAGGGTAATGTTATGTTAATCCATCAGGGTTTAAATGGCACTTTCAAAACAGAGCACTGAGGAAAAGCACAGTTAACATCCTGACTACAATTTACATTGAGAGAAATAAGAAAAATAGGATTGCTATATTAGGTTTAGATTTAGATCTAAAGGGATAATTATTTGTGAAAAAAATTGATTCAGGCTGTTCGGTCTGTGTCGATGGGCTTTGTTAGAGCACAGTTCATTATATGGAAGTCGAATCATGATAGTATGCTGTGAACTCAAATACTGATCCACAGTCTTCAACAGAGCACAAAAAGTAAGTAAGGTTTGTTTTTTCCGTGCTAGGCTATATATATTTATAGCTGGAAAATATAAAGCGGGGGGAGGGGAAAGGGATGGGGAGGGAGTGTGCCTGCTTGATTATTTAAACTTTTATTTTCTCTTTTATAAGCAAATTAAAAAAAAACTTGCATCAATAAAACAAGTCGATTTTTATAATGTCCAGAATTTTAATCAGATGCATAGTAGGACCCGTGTCAATCAAAAAACTACTATTGCCTAACACAAAAGGACACACCTATCAGTGAAGCTGAAGAAAAACTGCATTTTAGAAGTCTTATAACAGGACAAAAATTGAAATTTGGATCAGAATTTCAAATATACAATAAGTAAGAGACAGCTAATCTGAAAAAGTTGGGTTCTCACTTACACTTCTAAATTCAAAAGTAACAAAGATTCCAGCTCCCAAAGCAAAGAAAATGTCTTTAAAACCCAGCCAACACTGTGATTAAGTAGTTTTCTGGGGGAAAATAAATATACCTAATACAAAAATGAAGGGCCAGCTATACCACTGTGCCAGATTCTCAGATGGTATTAATTGGCCCATCTGCTTATTGTAAACTAAACCAGCTTGAGATTTCTGCAATTACTTTCTATTCTCCCTCTGCGTATAGAGGCCACAGTGTCAAGTATAACCCAGAATCTTAAACGTAAACATGGAATAGTGAAAATTATGTTTTCTTTTCTTTTTGCATGGTCTTCTGTTTTACTAGCCAAGATTCCTTTGCCCTTTGCTAGGTCCTTTTCTGATATGCATCAAAGTAAACAGCAGTATTACATCTGTTTTCAAGAAGCATAACCGAAGACTCTGAAACTCTCAAAAAAGATAGGGAAGGTTTTATCCCTCATGGTCTATATATCAAAATCTAATGTCAACTGCAGCAAAACTCCAATTTTTCCAACTTTTTTCTTTCTTCCATTAGTAAAAATCAAGACATGTTGTTTTGGTTTGGGTCAATTCAGCAAATAATCCGGTTTGGATTGAGCTGCTAGAGCACAGTTCATGACGCCTGAGAGATACAATGCAGAAAAGGCACTCAGCGCATGAAGGATTATGGAGTCAGCTTAGCCAACCAGTTTAGGCAAATGCAGTTTATTGCTGAAGCAATTACAACAACAACAACAAAAAAGTGTTTCAATAATCTGTGAATTAAAATCTGCCTTTAAACTTGTTTTGCCCTACAAAATATTCACTTTGGGCAAAATTGCTGAAATGGACATTCTTTGTGTGACAAACTGATTTTATAACATCTTTGTTGATAAATCATTAAAAGAGACTCTAGGGACACTACAGCCTTGATTCTGCCAGAGTTTCAACTTCAGTTCACCCTTAGTAAATGTTTCTTTAAAATAAAAACAAAAATGTGTAACTCAGTACTGACACAGTACACTCAACCACACATTCAGATTAAAACAACAGTGTTTGAAACCACACAGGCTCACCCAAAACTTATTAAGTAAGTAATAATTACTTAATGATATTTTTATATCATCAGTTTTGTTCTGTCTCAAAGGCATGTCTCTGGATTTGTCATTTGCCATCACTGTAGCACTGAATGGTTTTCCCTGACATGTTTACATACGAAGCATAGTTAATTTTCTAAATTGTACCAGGGGACTCAGTCTTCACAATCAAAGCAACAGAAATGTCACAAACTGTCTTAGAATAGACTAAAGCAAGGTTTTCTTCCAGTTACATAATGCCAGTTTTAATTATTTCAAGATTGTTCCTTGGCTTGTAATAAAGTAATATACTAAAATGTAAACTGTTTTGAGAATAAAGACTCTTGTGGCCTTTTGTAAATCAGAACAGTTACTTTTCAACTCAGTAGGCAACTGTTGAACGACTCACATCTTCAAGAGTGGGAATGTGGCTTCTGAAATAACACACCAGAATGTTTTCTTACTGTATGTTTAACTATTACCCAGGGATGTGCTTATTGTGTTTGCATAGAGGTTGTCAAATAACTATTTTCCCTTCATTCATGTTTGTCAACAATACTCCTAGCCTTAATCTCAAAAGTTATTTAAGCATTTAAAAATTAGTTAAGAAATATTTATATATTGTTTAGTGATATAGAAAGGCAACATTTGCAGGGAGAGGCCACAGTTTTTATTAAATGACCCACCAGAGCTAGGAAAATGGGCAAATTTTCAGGGACGCAAGTCTAACACAGATAAAGTTAACTGCTCGCTCAGTGCAGACTGGGAACAATTGATCTGATTCACTTAATTATGTAAACAATTGAACAATTTGAAAGCAAAGGTTTTTGATGAGGAGAGAGGAACCTTAGCAGGGCATTTAACTTTTTTTTCTGATATTAGTGTTACTTGACAGGCACCAACATAACACTCTGATCACTGTGGTAAGCTTAAAATGGGTCACTGCCCCTGCAGATGTAACATGGACTATTTCTGCTTTCATCCTCTGCAACATTTCCCAACCTTAGTACAAAAATATAGTTAAGTGACTATAAAAATCTGTATCTAACAAAAAGCCCTATCAAACTTAGAAAATGTGTGGCCAAATTTCACGCAAGTTTTGAATGATCCAAACACTATGATTATAGCTGACAGGAGTTTAATTGAATTGAACTAAAATTCCCATGGCATAACAGAGCATCATTTAGGCCATTTTAATAATCAGAAAGGTTGCATTTAAATTACAGAAAAATCAAGATACCCTCTTTTTAAAGCACTGAACATAAAAAAGTAACTCCGGACCTTGTATCTGATGGAGAAACGCTCAGGCTGGAAACATCCATAGACCTCTGTAATCTAGGGCTGATCTGGTTGCATGCTGTTGAAACCCGATTAGCAGGAGGTGAAAGAGGTCCCAGCTGTTGAACTGTCACGGGACTGCTGGTGACTATTACATTGTCGCAGCTGCCTTTTCCAATGGACTTGCACTGGGGTCCATAATCAAGACCTCCTAAAAATAAACAAGGCAGGTTAGTATTCATCTCCCATGAACCCATGATGAGGCCACAGAACTCACATCACTTTACAAAGCAGGAAAAGCAACTGGAACTGTATATCTTTAGATGAGTACGAAACAGCGGACCAATACAAGGATTTTGCAAACTTCACCAAACACAAAAAGCAATTTTCTAAAGGGGAATTAATAAACTATGCACGTTTAAAACATCTGCTGAATTACACAAACCAAAGACCAGGCATTGTGGTTAAACATCTGAAAAAAACACCACTGGAAGACTGGTTAAAAGAGCAGCCCTCAGCTGAGGGACAGTGAAGCCGTAACAGCACCTTTCTCTGAAGAAGGAAGGAAGAGAGAACCCAACGAGGCCAAACCCTCCACTCCAAGCCCTTGCAAGCCCTTCCATCACTCCTACCACTAGCCATCCAACAAGCAAGGGGACTGCAGGCATGCATGGAAATTGCAACCCCTGCAATAGGTTTGGTGTGGCGAAGCACACAGGCTGCATAGCTTCTCCAGCAGGAGAGAGCTACAGCTGGAACCTGGCATTCCTCAGAGGTCTAGGCAGCTGAATTTGAGCTGGATCAAGCAGAGCAGCATTCTGGATTTTAAAAGGCCACAACGTGCTCTTAATCACTGCTTCCGTGACTCAAACTGATGCACGTTAACACAGTAGCACGAGATGATTACAGAGGTAGCTGTCAAGTGGGACCTATCTGCAAAATGCTCCGTGTACTCTGTGTTCTGATTTAGGTCACACATGGTGGTTTACAAGACCGCCTGCATTAAAACACATCAAGATGCAAAAGTTGATATGTAGGCCAGAATATGGAATTTGTTGGATAGCTAGCAAATTCTCACCACAGTTGGAAATTAATAATTAGATGATTCATGTTTCTAGCTGCTTCCCTGCATTCAGACTGTTGTCCCAAAAATCAGGGTTCTCTTACCTGCTGTGCAAACAGCTGATCAACACACGTAGTCGAGATATTTGTTTATTTCTTGTCTGCGCAGCGATGGGTGCTAGGTGGTAACTCCACAAAGCTGGCACCCTTTGGCTAACACCAGGTAAACATTTATACACTTCGAGCAAGCAGTTATCAGTACTTGTACAGCTACACTTCATCGCTCTCTTTCCCACTGGTCCTTACATGTCTCCTCTCTACTGAAAGTCACAATATCCTCCCTTTCTGCTGCACATGTTCATGAAGAAGAGCCTCTTCTTGGTAGCGGGCTTTCACTACTTGAGGGCGGGTTTTTTACCGTACTAATGAGGACAGTTCACTCATACTTCAAGTAGTCTTTATCAGCAGTTTTGCTTCATTTTGTACTTATCTTAGCACCTTGCTTTAATCACAACTGTGGCTCTTCAAGGCTGCCGTGCTAGTCCTTGCCAGTTCCTTGTGTTCTTCCGCTGTCCTCCTCTTAGTGGTCTGACTTCACGGGCACCATCTGCCCCTTATCCCAGCTGAAGCAGCAATAGGGAGAGGGAAGACAAAGCAGCAGCACAGCTTCCCCCCAGGGGTTAAATCCTTTCCCTCTGGCTTTCAGGGATCTTTCGAGGCCTGCTTGCTTGGGCACCAAGACTACTCCCCAAAGCAGCTGGTATGGGTGTGCATGGCAAGCTTTTGGTAGCAGGGGTGGGTACAGGGGAGGCTTCTGTGAGAAGCTGCCAGAAGCTTCCTCCATGACTGAAAGAGCCAGGTGGCCCTGGCTCCAAGATGGACCCGCCGCCGGGCAAGGTGGTAGCACCTCTGGGATAACACAGTTATAGTCCATAGTGGAGACAGCAGTTGGGGGAGAGGAGTGAGACGATGTGAGAGAAACAGCTCTGCAGACACCAAGGTCAGTGCAGAAGGAGGGGGAGGAGGTGCTCCAGGTGCTGGAACCGGGGAGCAAGGTGCTTTTAAGATTTAGTTTTATTTCTCATTTTCCTACTCTGATTTGATTGGTGATCAATTAAAACTTTTTCCCCTCAAGTTCAATCTGTTTTGCCCATGACGGTAATTGACGAGCGATCTCTCCCTGTCCTTATCTCAACTCAAAAGCCTTTCATCATATTTTTTCTTCCCTGTCCAGCAGAGGAGGGGGAGTGACAGAACAGCTTTGGTGGGCACCTGGCATTCATCCAGGCTAAACCATGACAGCAGTATAGCAACATCAGGACAGACAGTAAAAAGCACTTCAATTTAAACAACTTACTTTTGACTGTTTGTGCTACTCACATAATGAGGCTGGTGAAGGGACTAGAGAACAAATCTTATGAGAAGCAGCTGAGGTAACTGGGGCTGTTTAGTCCAGAGAAGAGGAGGGTGAGGGGAGACCTTATCACTCTCTATAACTAACTGAAAGGAGGCTGGAGCGAGGTGGGTGTTGGTCTGTTCTCCCAAGTAACAGGCAATAGGACAAGAGGAAATGGCCTCAAGTTGCACCAGGGGAGGTTTAGATTGGGTATTACAAAAAATTTCTTTACTGAGAGAGTGGTCAGGCATTGGAACAAGCTGTCCAGGGAAGTGGTGGAGTCACCATCCCTGGAGGTATTTGAAAGATGTGTGGATGCAGAGCTTAGGGACATGGTTTAGAAGTGGAATTGACAGTGTGAGGTTAATGGTTGGACCTGATGATCTTGCAGGTCTCCTCCAACTCAAACAATTCTATAATTCTACGAATATCTTAAAAAATTTGCAAATGAAATTTCCAATTATAGCTTTTTTTTTAAATGAGAACAAATAGGTATGTTTATTCCTGTTTCAGAAGTCTGTGCCTTCTTTTCACATTCTTCTTCTTCTCTTTGACGATGTCCAAGAGGAGACGAGTGATGAGTGGTGTGCCTCAGTGGTCTGTACTGGGGCTGGTGCTGTTTAATATCTTTGTCGGTGACATGGACAGTGGGACTGAGTACACCCTCAGAAAGTTTGCCGACCACACCAAGCTGTGTGGTGTGGTTGACAAGCTGGAGGGAAGGGATGCCATTCAGAGGGACCCTGACAGGCTGGAGAGGTGGGCCTGCGTGAACAGCATGAAGTTCAACAAGGCCAAGTGCACGGTCCTGCACATGGGTCAGGTCAACCCCAAACACAAGTACGGGCTGGGCGGAGAGTGGCTCGAGAGCAGCCCTGAGGAGAAGGACTTGGGGGTACCAGTGGATGAGAAGCTCAACGTGAGCCAGCAGTGTGCACTTGCAGCCCAGAAAGCCAACCATATCCTGGGCTGCATCAAGAGAAGTGTGGCCAGCAGGTTGAGGGAGGGGATTCTGCCCCTTTCCTCCGCCCTCATGAGACCCCATCTGGAGTACTGCGTCCAGCTCTGGAGCCCCCAACAGAAGAAGGACATGCATGTGTTGGACCGGGTCCAGAGGAGGGCCAGGAAGATGATCAGAGGGCTGGAGTACCTCTCCTGTGAGGACAGACTGAGGCAGTTGGGGCTGTTCAGCCTGGAGAAGACAAGGCTCCGGGGTGACCTTATAGCAGTCTTAAAGTACCTGGAGGGGGCCTACAGGAAGGATGGAGAGGGACTTTTCACAAGGATGAGTAGTGATAAGAGAAGGGGGAACAGCTGTAAACTGAAAGAGGGCAGATTTAGATTACATATTAGGAAGAAATTCTTCACCATGAGGGTGGTGAAACACTGGAACAGGTTGCCCAGAGCAGCTGTGGCTGCCCCCTCCCTGACAGTGTTCAAGCCCAGGTTGGATGGAGCTCTGAGCAACCTGGTCTAGTGGAAGATGTCCCTGCTCATGGCAGGGAGGTTGGAGCTAGATGAACTTTAAAAGTCCCTTCCAACACTTCCCATTCTGTGATTCTATGATTCTATGACTAATTAGTAATATCTCACATATACGTGAGGAGCACATACATGATTCTCTGTCCGCTGGAATCCTAAGTGCTTTGTAATCCATGTACAGATGTTACAAGTTGATTGCATGATCCACCACCAAAATGTACTTCTTGGGATGAAATATGGCAGACCTTTAAAAAAAACAACTTACTCATTACTACTGCTTCAAAACGTAA